CGGTTGTAAGGGTTCGACTGAAAAATGACTATAGCATCCAAAGAAAGCAGCAGCCTCGAAAATTACTTAATCTCGACATGAGGAGCTAGTGATGGTAAATAACGAGACTCTTCTTTCTAAATTAAGAACGTTCATACTTCAAACAAGAAATAGACATACTTCTGTAACTGGTTGAAAAATCAAGCCATCAATTTCATGTCCAACATTTCTTGTAAACTTTTCATCAAAGAGCTTTTTTACGGCTTCTAACTCCCAAAAGTCCTAAAAATTCCAAAATGTAACATATATTAATAAATCTGCAAAAAAACTCACAAAATTTTGGCAAAATAATTATAAAAATAGTAGTTTTCAGTTATGAAGTGAATTATTCTCTTTTTATACCTTCATACGTATACTTATTGGTTCTCTTTCCCTCTTAATACGGCCATTTTTTATCGCTTCGATACGAGGTCCAATAAGTTCTTTACGAATACACAATAAACGTGTTCTGAAATCACAATCACCAACGTTCTGTCCCTGAAACGAAGTACTAGTGACAATACCTAATGGGTCTACTTTCTTTTTTCGGCTTTTCCATAATATAATTTAAATTTTGAGCTTAAATAAACTCAGTAATTACATGACAAGACACGAACCTCAAATTTAATGATATCGTAAATAAGTAGTCGTGGAACATCATTCACATTGCCAAATTCATCTTTCACCTGGAACGATATCTTTTAATTTAGATTGTTATTCGTGTTATATTTTAAACTCAGAAACTACTTTATAAGATGACTTCAAATATTTGAAGCATGCTCATAAGTCAGTTTTAGTCAGAGCACAATTATCAACTAAACCTAAACACACGTCATTTTTTTGCCATCGATACACAAAATTAATAATTCTTCTTTCACAGAATACTAAAAATTAATAGCACTGAACCTTTTCGATTATCATTTCACAATCAATTAATGTATTTTGAATATGCCTATTTTCTTTTCTATGTGGAAATGTGACATCGCAAATTTTAAAAACGCGATTGTCTCGATCAAACGCAAATATAGAATTTTCATCATCGATGAGTACCATATACCTATGCATATATAGATATATATTCAACCATCACATTCTTTTAAGATTATACTAATTTAACAGGCCTAGGCAGTGATTTATAAAGAAAGATAATCATAAATAGCAGACATTTAAATCCATAACTTTTACCTCATTCCATCTGCTTTCCAAGATACCATATACTGATTTTCTAATAGAAAACGCATATTATCCCTTTCAGGAGATTTCTCCATAGATACCGGTTGACTCCCGGGAAACCCGTCTTTTTTATAATTGCACATGGTTCGAATCTGAATATATGGAACATTATTAAAAAAAGTTTATGAAAATTTCTTAATACGTTTTTTGCTTGAGGACGACAAGCAAGCAGTAATAAATAAAATAATTTTGTCCAGCATAAATACTTCGCTACAAATATTTGTATCTAACACTGTTCTTTTCGTAAAGATGAGATGAAGTATTTACATTTCTACATAAATTTTCATGTTTTTAAACAAGAGGTTTTATCATATACCTTTGAACTTTTAATGGCTTTCTGAACATCACGAATTTGGATTAAAAAAACAATAGAAAAAACGATCACATAAAATTGGAATGGAGAGTTAACCAAGTTGAACACAACCTTAGTTTGCAAAATGGTATTCATCATCGGATCTGATACGTATTTGACGCTAGGTACTGCCCCATCCATGAATTTGGGTACGACTGCGGAGGAATCTTGAAATTTCATTACAAAAAAGTTGAAATGTATGAAAAAAAAAGCTGCGAATATAAAAAAGACTATTTCACATTTTTAACATAGTATTCTTCTGGAAAAGATCTACAACATAGGTCACAAAAGCAAAACAAAGATAAAAATTTTTAATCTAGGAATTATGTGCAACAACCAAACAATACTGAATAAATTGATAAATCAATGAAAGAAATGAGTGAAAGATAAAAAAAGAAAATATACCATCAGCATTCTTGACATCAGCTACGATAGCATCTTTATCGTCAAATAACATTTTGTCATCATAAACAGGACCACTTTCCCAAGCAGGTCGAGGTGGTGCCTGAGAATCAGCACATTTTTATTAATCAAATGCTCCTGTTAAAATGTCATATATCTAAGTAAAAACATAACAATGTGAAATTGTGATATGTGAGCAAAAGAATTTAAAGCTTAATTTGTATGTCGCAAAATTAATTTTAGCAATAAGGATGTTTTCGGATATTTTCGAAAAAACTTTATTTAGCAAAAGTACGAGTAATAAAGGAAAATGGCACATTTAAAATCCTTGCGAATATTTTTAACAAAGTAACGAATTTTAGAGATATTACGAAAAGAAAATGAAACCTCTATTTTGTCATCTTCATCTCCGTATCTCCTCATAAGTTCATCCAAATAGAACTGTTTATAAATACCATTTGGCCTCATTTGTGCAAACGTATATATAGCAGCGTCAATTGCCCAATCCATTGCACTGGCAAGATAAGCAGCTATCAAGAAGCCTGTTCGATTGAATCCATGAGTACAATGCACCGCTACTATATCCTTCGGACTGGTCTAAAGTCATACTATTATATTTTTTAATTTAGATGAAATAATCCGAATAAAATTTGTACCAACCTAATATTGTGCTTTAAAACTATTTTTTCTACTTTCTCTTAACACTCCACCTGACGATATTGCATTGAAAAAATATCTAATAAATGAGCAATTTACCTTGGTGAAACATGAGAAACAATTCTGCAAAGCTCTGGTCGACTATTATATAGAAATTTAGAATGAACATGATTGAAAGAGCAAATGAAAATCTTTAAAACTAACATGGAGAAACGAACGCACAATTCGACAAAAATTTTCGGTATCAGCAATAGATGGTGTTTCACCATGACCTTTCATTGGTAATTTCTTATATAAACAATTTCGTTTTTCAATCTAAAGAAAGATCTGACAGTCAAACTATACTTTACAGATTTGTAGTATCCCACCTGGAAAAGTACACTACAAATATTTAGCAATGCATTTGCAAAGATAAATAACTTAGTAAGTTGTGTATATATCAAATCTCATGCACACATATTACCTCTTTCTTACTATAATATCGATCTGTTTTGGTAAGGTCGATCCATAATCCTATTCTAGCACCCGGTTCAGCGCCTTGCAACTTGTATGAAAAAACGTCGCGAGGATGGAACTGATACTTTTTTTCTATTTTTTCATCATAGAGCTTGCACAAAGGGGTTTTGAAAGGCAAGAAATGCTTCGCAATAACCTAAACAACCTAACTTCAAATATTTAGCACTTACAAACACCATTTAAAAGCGATACAACTGAGGAACTTTATTTAAAAATTTTTGTTACTAGTCACAAAAGTCTTAGAATCTTTCGTGAGATCGTGAAACGCGATAAAATGTTTGCTATTTACAATGGATAAAACTGACGAATTTGTGTACTGAATCACCAAGTTTTAGAAGACCAAGACATTAGGATACTGAGCACAATACGATATAATTTGAATTTTTGTCATGCAAAATCAGCCGAGATATCGAACATATATATGTATCCTTAAATATGTGTATCCGACATATATATGTATATATCGTTATGCCAAAAAAAAAAAAAGATATATAAACTTACGCAACCCAACGATGGACAATAGAGCCAACGATCTGGAAGGCCTAATTGCACTTTTTCCTTCAATTCTGATGTACTAGATTCGTCGTCACTAGCCATTCATACTGCAAAAATGAACTGATTCAAAATTTTACTTTATTTTCATACACACTATATCAAACTGAAGTTTTTTGCCATTAAAAATATATAACACATGTAGCTGCTATAGAAATAAAGCTACAGCAACTACAATGCTAAAACTTCTATAAGCAAAAAATAATTAAATCTATGATTTCACATTACGAACGACGTTAAACAAATCTTATTATAACTATAAGTCAGAAATTATAGTACCATAAAAGCAGTTAAAGAACGAATTATATAATCTTTCACTGAATTCCGTTTTCGATTCTGATTGAATATCAGTGACTTTGAGCAGGAATACTTGAACACATGAAATTTTCACGCTGCTGACTTGAAGCTTTTACACTGCTTGCTGGCAAAGAATTTGTTAGAAATACTCGTATTTTAGCTTGAGCTATCAGTTAGTAAGTATCTGCTTTAGTGACGCTTCAGTGATTTTCACTTAAATAGCTTTGTGTCGTTTTAAATACACTTTATCTTCTCATGACACATTTCACTTTTATCTTCCACGTGATGTAAAACTGTTCATGCATGACACTTGCAAAATGTAAAGCATTTTCACGTACTCTGCAAGGTATTCCCACTTTAATACTGAAAAATAAGTTCAAAAAAACTTCATTTTTTTGTAAAAGATTCATAAAAGTTTATTACTACAAAACTGCATACGATACACTAGTGAAGAGTACCAACTTCAACTGGTTATTAATATAGAACAGACAACAAATATAAACACTTCATACCGAAATCTCGTGGAAAAAACGATAGTTAGTGTCATAGACTTTTGCTCAAACTATTCTTCATTAAATTATTCTCTTCTCATTCTTTTCTTACTTCAAAATGACTACATTTTTTAAATCTAATATCAGTCTTTACATCTTAATAAAAATAAATAAATAGTAGCGATTTCCACTTCTCTCGTTAACGCTAAATATTGCACTTGACCTATAACCTATCTAATCTTTGTAGAGACAGATCACAGAAGCACTGACTTTTCAAGTGAACTGATTGGTGAATCTGGCTCAAGCTATGAGTGTAACATTTCCGTCTATGCAACAATTATGAAATGAATTAATAAATGAGATGAATATTTTTCACAAAATTCAAACACTTCAAGAAATTAAAATTAAAAATATCTTCAAACTAATTCAACCGCTATCAATTATATTAATTTTTACTGCTCATAGATTTAATTTTCTTTATTCCATTATCATAATTAACTAAAGTTATTTTTTGTATGTTTTAAGATTTCGAATTTTAAAAAAATTCAAATTTTTACGGGTAGTTGAAGAAAAATTTTCAGCTCGAAAATGCGCTACTATTATAAGCTAACATTATGAGCAATTTGTATATTTTTTTTGGTTATTATTTTATAATAAAATTACTTTATTTAATTGAAAATTTTGTTGGTTACTTTTCTACAATTTTACAGTTTCGATGATTGATTTACTTTAAAATCTGTGAAGTTTGAAACTTAATTTAGATATTTTTTTATCTGTCAAATAATTTTTCTAGTTTTTATATAATTTATTCGTACTGTACTTTTTTTGTTTTTCAAAGTCATCAGTCATATTAACTCATTGCAGGAACTATATAATTTCATGCATTGTTTTTTGATAATTCTTATAAAAAATTTAATCAATTATGCACGATAATTATGTAAAAAATCATTCTATAATTATTATTGTGCTGTATTCCATAATGATCGATAGATCACTTAATAACCGATCAATTTAAGATGATTCAATCGATAGTATAAGAATTAAAGTTTTGCAGAAATCATTTTAGTCAAACGGTTTAAATAGTTTCATTGTGTAGCTATCTGATATAAAATCACAATCAATAGATTTGGATCAGTGATTTGAATATGATTTGGCGATAAATCTTCATAGTTATGGTAAATAGGTGAGTAAACAGGTTTGAAATTTTAAAGGGACGAAACATCGACTTTTACAACGATAAGTTCTCCTCACTGCTCTCTTTTCTGTTCTTTTCTCACTTACGTTGAGTATTTTTGCAGAGAAAAAATAATTAATTAGTTTAAATATTTCAAAAGTATTTTTACTTGTAAATTAATTTAAAATCTCATCAAAAATGGAAAACTTGTTTTTGAGTCATCAAAATTTCTGATCATTTAATTGATTCATTCTGCTAAATTTTCATTTTGAGTATTTTTAAATACATTTTTATGGCACAACTATTTTTTCATACTGCTAGTAACAGTTTGACTTCAGTTTATTAAAGATAGCGTTAATATTCTATTTAATAAAAATATAATTTGAAAAATTACTCAAATAATTTAATAATATAAATATAAATACAAAAATGGTATTGTGGTACTTTTGTGAGGCTGAAAAAATTGCAATAGTTTTCAGTACTTTTAATATTTTTCATTTTTTATTTGTATTTTGGTTCCGATTGATAGCATACTTTAAAGATTTGTATTTTTAGCGTTATTTTTTTGAAACCATACGATTTTTAGCACTGGATATGACTAAAAATAGTGATAGCAGTGAAGAACAAAAGGTACTTCCACCACCTTATAAATCAATATATCCTGGAATGCCCGAATATGACACCACGAAAATGGAGAAGGAAAATATTGCTGAGAAATTCGAGAATTCATTTCTGGAGTCAAATGACATATCAAAAATTATAAAAGCTATTGATTTCGCGGCTCGACGTCATCGTAATCAACGTCGAAAAGATAGCACGCAAACACCATACGTCAACCATTTAACTGGTAATCGTTATCATTGAAATTGAGTTTATCCTTTTATATCATTTTCCAAAATATTAATCTGCTTATTAGAAAGCTTTAGAAAACAAACACTTATTCCTAAGATAAACGGTTTGGTACTGGAAAAAAGCATTATAAAAGCAGATAAATTAAATATTCCAAAACTATTCAAAGAATTTTTTTGTAATTTTACCATTTTGCTCAAAATAAGCATTTCAGAGCCAACAAAACTTACAAAAGTCATTTCATATTTTTAATAATTTATATTTTTTGTTTCAAAGTATTTTTTCAAATATTTGAATTAATGAACTTAGTTTTGATATGTTATACATTTTTTGACTACAATTTTTTCAGGAGTTGCATTTATTTTGACAAATGAAGCCAATATAACGGACACAGCAACGATTGTAGCTGCAGTCTTGCATGATGTTGTCGAACATACTAAAACAACTATCGATGAAGTTCGAGAGATGTTTGGTGACGAAGTAAAATTTATAAAATAAATATTTGCTTTAAAAAGAATATGTATTTTTGATAAAAAAATTTTTTGCATAAATTCAAAATTTCGCTTAAAAATTTGCATAATCTAAAAAACTCATTATAGCATTCGATTTTTCTATTTATATAAATTGATTTACTGTAAAATACATAAATTATGTAGAAAAAATATTAGTTGGAAATCAGCAAATTGTCTAATATTTGATATAGTGTTTGTTAAGGTAGCTCACATTGTGAATGAATGCACTCTGGATAACGATAAAAAACGTAAAGCAAAGTTCATGGGTCAGCTAGAACGAGCAAATAAATTATCCAAAAAAGTGAGAATTTTTTTTGAAATATTTGATGGACAGATTTAATAAGTTTGGCATAAGTGTAAAAAACAATTATTATTTGAGTGATATGAACAAATTTTAACAGAATTTTTTATTTTTCTTAATCTTGCATTTTTAATCACTTTGAATTAATTATTTACTGATTCTTTGCATAGATTTTTAGAAAATTGATACTTAATAAATTGATTTCTATTTTTTCAAAGAATCAAAATTATCCATTTGGCTGGCTGAACTTGTAAATTTCAAGTTCATTTCTAAAATTTCCAGAAATTTTTTGCCTTAAAAATAAATTTATCAAATTTGTCCTCAACACAAACTGTTAATTACTATTTTACTGATTAAAACAGTTGAAATTACAAAGAGTAAATATACTATATGTTTACATCTCTGAAATATAAATATTTGATTAATCCGGAATCTGAAGTAATTAATAAATTCATGATTTGTATTAACCCCATTGTTAAAATTTTTTGATTCAGGCTTCGAGTAAGTTTTTTAAATTAAGTTGTTTTCACGATAAATTTCAAATTTTTATTCATCTCAATAATGAATTTACATAAAATGAAATTTTTGTATAAATAATTACGAGCATAATTTTGTATCTCTTTATAAATAGTTACTGAACACGTGTTATTTTAGATCTTAAACTTGAGAAAAAGTATATTTGCCGTATTTTTGACAACTTATTTACGTATTTTCACGCATCGAATTTAATTTTGCTTGATGTAAATCTTCAAATATTTCTAAACTTTCAAGATTTGCAAATTTTTAGGCAAAGCTTGTAGAGCTAGCTGATAAATTGTACAATTTACGTGACATTGAACGTGCCACACCTGTAGGTTGGAGCAGCCACCACGTTAAGGATTACGTTCAATTTGCAAAGGACTTGTTGTCAATCATCAGAGGAATCAATGATCCACTGGAAGTTGCCCTGGATGACATTATCAATAAAATCGTCAAATGATTATGTTTTTCATTAATTAAAAATATAGTAATTAAAAAAATCTATACAGGCATGTATAATTTTTTATTAATTGACATAATTTGCATTCGAAATTAAATTTCACACTTTCATTCAGCTGTTGTGATTAGCATTAGTAATAAAATTCATAATGAATTCGAATAATTTAGTCTTTATTTTATTCACAGTAAATTATCAGACAACCTATTATTC